GTGTCCTGGCCAACAAGCTCTCAAAAAATAAAATCGGTCATTTGTTTCATGGCTGTTTGTGGGACACTGATGCGCACAATTGTGCTGCCACATTTGCCTAAAATTACACAGTTACTCCATTTCACAGCAATTCCTGTAAAGTGCTTTGAGACATTCTTCCGACGTGAAAGGCGTTATATCGAATGCAAGGATTATTTTATCACATAGTCTTTCACATCGGGATGATGCCTCGAAGCACTTTATTGTGCAAAGGAGTGACTGTGGGGTGGGGTGAGGAGGGGTTTCAAAGCACATGAGACAAGATCATTTTGATTTGGAAGTCAGGGAGGGAAGTGGCAGGAACGAGACAGAACACAATCAACACAGTTCAAGAATACAAATGAATGCAATCTCTTGCAAGCGAAAACAAGTGATATGGGAACCCAGCTTAAGAGTATCCAAACCACACTGAGAATTCCATGTATCCCACCTACATATAGAAATCCCAGAGATAGGTTGTTGAACGGAATGCGCCTTCTCTCCCTGGAGGGACGTAGCCGGCTTACCTAAAACCAGAAAATATTAGGCACAGGTTAGCAAGAGCCAAAGCTTGGGGACTCCAGGATGTGCCTTGGGAGTAACCAGCTAAAAACGCATAGTTTCCCGACAAAGTGAAATCCTGTGACACGCTTTGGAATAACCTGTTGGGTTGGTCTGCAGAAGGAGCAGCTTCCAGATTCAACAATCACATCTTTGTGCAGTTACAGGTGCGTTCCAACGGAGGGCAGCACATTTTCACTTTGTGGTCGGACAAAACAATTTCCTTTACCAGTTGGAGAGCACGTTCCCAAAGCACATTCACTGTGTGAATGAACACCCGAGCTGGGGGTGGGAGGGCAAAGGTGACTGAAAGCGTAGTCTAAGATGTACATTTTGAGACATGGCTTGAAAGACTCTGGGATGAAACTCCATAGATAGTGGGGTGGTGGGGGGGGGGTCGAAAGGCTGAAAGCCCAACCGCTGACGGAGGGAATGATAGGATGTGACTGGTGGGGGAGGTACATGAAGCAGGCCGGTGCTCCCTGAACAGTTTTCCATAACATTTCAAACCCCGATGAGATGCTTAGATACACCAACAAGTCTTCCATTTGATGGGAGCTCACCTTGTCTAAGGTAACACTCCAATGCAGTGCTGGGGGTGTTGCATTGTCGGAGGATGAGACGTTAAACCGAGATCCCGTCTGTCTGTTCAGGTGGATGTTAAAGTTCCCATTGCAATATTTGAAAAGAGAAGGGAGTTTCTCCTGACCAACAAAACCCCAAGTAAAATTGGTCACTCACTCCATGCCTGTTTGGGGGAACATTGTTGTGTGTAAATTTATGCGGCCGCATTTGCCTACAAAGCACAGTCACTTCATTTCACACCAAACCCTGTGAAGTGCTTTGAAACGTTCTGACATAAGACACTGTACCAAATGCAAGGACTAATATATCATACCTCATCACGTGGTCAAAAAATCAAAAGCATTTAATAGGGTTTCACTGCAAAGTGCAGTGACTGTATTTTGTAGCCGAATGCCGCAGCCAGTTTGAGCACAGCAACATCCCATAAACGGCCATGAAATGAGTAACGAATTTTGTCTAGAGGATTGTTGCCAAAGCAAACAGGAGAGAGAACCTCCCTTCTCTTTTCGAATCATCCCATAGGATCTTTCACATCCACCTGAACACCTAATCCACGACTGTTTGTGGGACACTGCTGTGCGCAATTGGCTCGCCCCCCACACACAATCCACTTTACAGTGTGTTCTGTGAAGCGCTTTGAGACATCTCAATGATGTGATAGGGCATTGGTTTGCATCTTATCTGTAGGACAGCACTCTGATAATGCAGTGAACTCTGGACAATATGAGTCCTCGTGTGGGGCTCATACCCACATCCTTCTGACTCAGAGGTGAGAGTGCAACCAACTGTGCCAGATTGACAATAGTGGGTTGAGAGGGAAGTGAAAAATGAATGCAAATGAGCGAGTAAGAGAATCTGGTTTCCATTTGTTCTTTTCAACTGAGTCCTTGTAGGGTAGCGGTTGGAGCGTTCGCCTCTCAAGCGAGAGGAATGAACCACTTTACTGGTGAAAATTGACAGGCTTCAATTGGCAAAGTGATATCTTGAACACAAGGCTTGGTCAATGTGGGCTCAAATATTGCAGACAGTCACAATGCTGGCATTTCAGGCCTTATCGATCAGTCTCAAAACGCTTCACAGGATGCAAGAACCCGTGAATCCGAATAATATCTGGACCGTGCTCTTTGCGTCCCTTCAGGCCTGACACCTCCCTAATCTCTCTGACCTGCTTTCTCCCCACTCCCACCGCTGCACCCTCTCCCTTCCCGTCCCCGCCCCGGCGTGGGCCGCGCGTCGCGATAAGGCGCCACATGAAATACCGAAGGTGATCCAGCGCCTCGGGACGTCTCCGACGACCTGCGTGCCGAGGCGCCGCATCAAATGCAAGGCTTATTATTTCGGTGTGCAATCTGCGCCCCTCTTGAGCATCGAAAGCCCCTTTGACACCCCTCCACCCCCCCCCCACCCCCATGCAAAACCCTGAGCCATCTGCACCCTCCAAAAAGGTCCACGGCCCTGCGGAGCAGCCACAGGGCTGTGGGAGTCTGTCAGACAGACAGACAGACACAGACAGACAGACAGTCTGTGACTGTCTCTCCACTAACCCCAACTCTGGAGATTTCCTCTTCACCTGATAACAATCACATCCGATTTGGTGGAGTCGGTATCATTGCGCTATAGCCTTCCTCCAAAAAAAAACCTCTTTATTTTGTTTTGCAAAACCTTTTAGACACACACACACACACACAGAGAGAAAGAGAGAGAGAGAGCAACCGAACACGAACAAAACACACTGCAAATGCTGCCTTTCCTGGCAAAGACATTGCATGTGTTTCCCCTGGAAAAAAAGAAAGAGAGAGAAACACACACTCGGTTTGAAATGCACACACACATACACACACACACACACACACATGCGTGTGGCTGCAATGGGGAGAAACCAGTTGCATTTTTGTGAATGGAAGAGGGAGGGAGAGGGAAGGAGAGAGAGAGAGAGAGAAGGAAGGAAGGGAGGGAGGGAGGGAGAGAGAGAGAAAGAAGGGAGGGAGAGAGAGAAAGAAGGGAGGGAGAGAGGTTGGGAAGAGAAAAGAACAGCTCACACAGATTGCAAAAGCAAACGATTGCAACTAAAATGCAGCAGTGCGTTGTGTGGAGGATCTCTTGTGTTGCATTTTTTTTGAATGGAGGAGTGGGGGAGAGAGAGAGAGAGGGAGTGTGTGTGTGGGGGGGTGAGTGTGTAATTGTGTGGGGGGGTGAGTAATTGTGTGGGGGGTGAGTGTGCAATTGTGTGGGGGGGGTGAGTGTTTGTGTGGGGGGGGGGGAGGGAGTGAGGTGGGTGTGGAGGGAGGGGGTGAAGGTGCAATTGTGTGTCAGGGTGTGTGTGTGTGTGTGTGATTTTGAGTGTGTGAAGGGGGTGAAAGTGAAATGCTGAGTGTGACTGATTGTGTGGGGGGGAGTGTGTAATTGTGTGGGGGGGTGAGTGTGCAATTGTGTGGGGGGTGAGTGTGTAATTGTGTGGGGGGTGAGTGTGTAATTGTGTGGGGGGGTGAGTGTGTAATTGTGTGGGGGGGTGAGTGTGTAATGGTGTGGGGGGGGTGAGTGTGTAATAGTGTGGGGGGGTGAGTGTGTAATAGTGTGGGGGGGTGAGTGTGTAATAGTGTGGGGGGGTGAGTGTGTAATAGTGTGGGGGGGGTGAGTGTGTAATTGGTGGGGGGAGTGTGTAATGTGTGTGAGTGTAATTGTGTGGGGGGGTGAGTGTGTAATAGTGTGGGGTGTGAGTGTGTAAGTGGAGGTGTGAGTGTGTAAATGGGGGTGTGAGTGTGTAAGTGGGGGTGTGTGAGTGTGTAAGTGGGGGTGTGAGTGTGTAAGTGGGGGTGTGAGTGTGTAAGTGGGGGTGTGAGTGTATGTGTGGGTGTGAGTGAGAGTGCACTCTTTGCTGTGGCGCAGGGATGTGAGCTGCCGCTGCCGGAGCGCCGCCAGTGACGTCATCGCTTCCGCCCGTTCCCCTTTGCGGTGAATCCAAAATGGAGTAAAGATGGGGCTGGAGACCAGGGGCTGAGAGCAGCGGCCCCACACACAGGGGACTCACACACACACACACAGAGAGAGGGGGGGAGAGGGGCTGTGAGGGGGAGAGGAGAGAGGGGCTGTGAGGGGGAGAGGAGAGAGGGGCTGTGAGGGGAGAGGGGGTGTGAGGGGAGAGGGGCTGTGAGGGGAGAGGGGCTGTGAGGAGAGGGAGAGAGGAGAGGGGCTGTGAGGAGGAGGGAGAGAGGCGAGGGGGTGTGAGGAGGGGGGAGGCTGTGGGGGAGAGGAGGGGGGAGGCTGTGAGGAGAGGAGTGGGGGAGGCTGTGGGGGAGAGGAGGGGGAGGCTGTGAGGAGAGGAGGGGGGGAGGCTGTGAGGAGGGGGGAGGCTGTGAGGAGGGGGGGAGGCTGTGAGGAGGGGGGAGGCTGTGAGGAGGGGGGGAGGCTGTGTGAGGAGAGGGGGAGGCTGTGTGAGGAGGGGGGAGGCTGTGAGAGGAGGGGGGAGGCTGTGAGGAGGCGGGAGGCTGTGAGAGGAGAGGAGGCGGGAGGCTGTGAGAGGAGAGGAGGGGGAGGCTGTGTGAGGAGAGGAGGGGGGAGGCTGTGAGGAGAGGAGGGGGAGGCTGTGTGAGGAGAGGAGGGGGGGAGGCTGTGAGGAGGGGGGGAGGCTGTGAGGTGAGGAGGGGGGAGGCTGTGAGGAGGGGGGAGGCTGTGAGAGGAGGGGGGAGGCTGTGAGGAGGGGGGAGGCTGTGTGAGGAGAGGAGGGGGGAGGCTGTGAGGAGGGGGGAGGCTGTGAGGAGGAGGAGAGGCTGTGAGAGGAGAGAGAGGGGGAGAGGCTGTAGGAGGAGAGAGGAGTGGGTGGGGGTGGGGGGGGGGGGTGAGGAGAGGAAGGCGCTGAGGACAGACACACACACACACACACACAGAGCGACACTGCCCGCCTGTCGGGGGGCCCCGCCGCCCCCGCCGCTTGCCCAGGGCTCAGTGTGAGGGCGGCGAGGAGAGATGTAACGTTGGTATATATAACACAGAGAGACAGAGACAGAGAGAGAAAGAGGAGTTATCGCCGCCACCATGAAGTTAGCTGAGATGTCCGCCGTGGGATGTCGGTGAACACAACATGACAGAGGAAAGCCACCCAGACGAGTAAGTTGTGAGAGCGGCGCCGGGAGAGGGGAGGGGAGGGGGTGGGGGTTGGGGGGGTGACGGGAGGGTGAGAGGGGGAAAGAGAGAAGGAGAGTAGGTGAGGGATGTGGGGTAAGAGGGGTGTCTCTCCCTTTTCTCTGCCCCCCCCCTCTCCTGTTTTACGCCCCTCTCCTCCTTCCTCTTCCCCACATTCCTTTCATTTGATAACACACACACACAGACACACACACACACACGTTTCCATCGCGCACATCTCCAGCCAATGCTCTCGGGACCTGGAGAGTGTTTTGCGTGTGTGTGTGTGTGTGTGTTTTTTATTCTGTGGATCTCGACTGTTATTTTTTTTGCAAAAAAAATCATTCCCGCCAGAGTCGACCTCAGTTGTGTTTCTACTGTTAACGTTAATTATGTGTGTGGGGGGGGGGGGGGGAGCTTTGATTTTCTCCCCCCCCCCTCACCCTCCCCCCCTCATCAACCCAATGCAATGCAACCCCCCCCCACCCAAACATGGGAGAGATTGTGGCTTGGGGTGGGGGGGTGGGGGATGGGGGGGTTAATCCAGAGCCGGGAAGCAGGACTGTAGTAGCTGAAGCCTCAGCAGCATTCCCACTGCCGGATAAACACCCCGTTACTGTCACATGATCGGCCATTCATAAAAACGCAGTAACCTTCAGGCCCATTCATGGCGACAGGACTTTACTACCTGACCCGCCAGTAACCAAACCCTCGGCACTGCAGTCTTCCAATTAGAAAACACACACACACACACACACGAGTTACCCAATAACACGGCCCTCCCTTCCCGTCCTCCCTCTCTCCTCTCTGCTCGTCTTCTCACAGTAGCTACTTGAGCTTGAAATTAGGATTATGGGTTATTATATATACACACACACACACACACACACACTATGAATTTAAAAACGCGCATTGTATTTTTTTTCGGGGGGGGGGTTTAAAAATTGTTCCTGCGTTTCGTGTGGGTCAGATGTTCTGTCACTTGCATGTGTGTGTGTGTGTGTGTGTGTTTTTTTTTGAAAAGTGTGCTGAATGTTCAGTCTTGTTCGCGGGCAAGTTCTAATTTTAAGAGGACGTCTTGCGGTAAAGAAAAGAAATGAAGGCGAACCTATTCGAAACAACAACAGAAAAAATCAACTGTCCATTCAATTCAGTCACATTATTAATAAATGTGGAACTGATGTGGAGGCGATTTGTTTTATATAGAAAGCTAGAGACCCTTTCAACAGCATCTCTACGTTCCTGCTTTTTAAATTAATTAATCTCACTTATTATTATTATTATTTCTAGTTCTCGCCCCGTAACCCGTAATTTTTTTTAAACTGCTGAGGTACTTTCAGCGCCTTGGGACGTCCATCCGGTATAAATGCAAAGTTATTGTTGTTGTTCTCTACTTCCCTTTTGAATGTTTCTATTGATCCCACCTCCAAAGCCGCTTTGTGGTGCTGAATTCCAAACCCCAACAGCCCTGTCAATGAAGAAAATTTCTCCTAACCATCCCTGCTAGTATTTTCTGCTTTTTATATTAAAAAAAAGCTACAAATCCTGGAGAAAAGCCAGCACATGTTTGAGGAATGTATTCGATCAGTGCTTTGAGACTTCTTGCTGCTGTGTGTTGAGAGGTTCATGTTGTATTGAAGGTAAAATGTTGAATGTGCAGATTGTGATCATCACCTCTGTGATATCCTGAGTTCCTGCAAATCAGAGCCTGCTGTTTGCACACGTAATAATGCATAAGTTTGTATGTTCCTGAAATTGTTCAGTCATTTTTTTTGAAAAAAATAAATATAAGAAGTGCTGATCGAAAGGAAGGTTTGAAAAGTTAGGTGCCCTTACTTGTTACCTCTACCTGTTTTATTTTGTTAAATAAATCCTACCCCATCTTTTTTGCTGCTTTATCAGAATGACATTTTCTTCTAAAGTTTAGGGGGAAAATATTTATTTCTCCAATTTACTAACTGATGGCATGCGTGTGGCATGTTCGCAAACTTCCCTTTAAGAGAGTTAGAAAATAACCTGAATGAGGCTGTATGGTCTTCCTATTACACCAGGTATAATAATATAATCAATAATTATTATTTATTATTATTTACACCATATATAAATGCAAGTTTGTTGTTGGAAAAGTTTCTTATTGACGGTGTCATAGCTGATTGTTATGTTGCATTTGCCCTGATAACGACTGAAGCGTTACTGTTCTATAATTGTGTGACAGAGGTGAGAAGCTAGAAGCTGAGGTATTTGGTTTATTTAAATACAATGAATGGTTAGTCATGCAACGAAACGTACGCTGAGGTTTTGTTACAGGTTAATCATCCTCCATGAAGTGCTGCATAGGTGAACTGAGTTGTTTTTTATATAGACTTTAGTGCCAGGCTACTAATAACACATAGGGAGAGAGGAATGTAAATTCTCTTTAAACCTTAAAATCAAAATGACGCCTAATAGAGGAGACCAGACCAAAAAGATTTACAAAGATCGTACAGCATAGACACCAGTTATTCAGCCCAACCAGTCTCTGCTGGTGTTTATACTCCACATGAGTCTCCATTTACTCCTTACTCCCTCCCATACTCTTCTGTTCCCTTCCCCCTCATGTGAAGGTCTAGCTTCCTCTTGAAGGCATCTACACTATCTGATTCAACCACCGCTTCAGGCAGCGAGTTCCACAATCTCAGTACCCTCTGTGTGAAGTAGTTCCTCCTAAATTCTCTTTTTGATCACCGAGTACCAATCTTATATTTGTGTCCTCTGGTTCTGAACTCCCCAGCCAACGAAAAAAAGCCCAGTCTATCCTGATACCAGTCACCAGGAGTAGAGACCCAATCGCCAGTGGCGAGAAAATTAGAAAATTGGACGGTAGATTTTTAAAAAAAGCTTTAGTATTTGGTTGTGTGCAAGGGAATGACGCTACGTAAGCACTCCAGGGATGCTACCCAGCGTGAAGGGCGCTATATAAATGTAAGTTATTATTGTTGAAAATATCCTTTTGATTTTAAATATGACCATCCAGACTTACTTACTGTAAAATGAATTGCTTGCTAAACCAAATGTTGGATCCAGAGATATGCTATGCTTTGAATGGCTCCATTCCTGCAACTTGATTGCATTTTATTTCTCTTGTTGCAAAATTGTCAAGCTGTTGTGTCATTAAAATGAGGTAGTGTGTGGGTAGACAGGCAAACAAGCGCAAATTCATCAGCCTCTCCTCATCCACCGCCTCTACTCTCACCTCAACCTTCATGGTTTTTTCCTTGACTGGTTCAGATCGTACCTCTCACACCGCCTCCACTTCAGCTCCACAAACAGTTTTTCCTCTAGCCCCCACACCATCTCATACGGGTTCCTCGGGGCTCTGCCCTTGGTCCCCTCCTCTTCAATATCTATATGCTTCCTCTTGGTGACATTATCCACAGTCAGTGTTGAACGTCAACAAGACCGAGGCTCTTCTGATTGGCTCTGTGCGCCTCCAGACCTCAGGGGCTGACAGTATCACCATCCATGGTTGCACACTCCACCGCACTAAGCCAGTCCCGAACCTTGGGATCTTGTTTGACCCTCAACTATCCTTTCTCCCCCACATCTGCGCCATGACCCGCTCTGCCTTCTCCCACCTCCGCAACATCGCCCGGCTCCGCCACTGTCTCACCGTAGGCCACCAAAACCCTCATACACGCTTTCATTACATCAAGGCTTGACTATACAAACTCCCTACTTGTCGGCCTCCCCAACTCCTCCCTCCGTAGCCTGCAGATCATCCAGAAATCTGCAGCCCGTGTCCTGTCCCGCATGAGGCTCCGTGACCCTATCACCCCCATTCTCGCCTAACTCCACTGGCTTCCTATCACACAGGATACAGTTCAAGATCCTGGTCCTCACCTTCAAAGTCATCCATGGCCTCGGCTCCCCCCTACCTCTGTGACTTCCTAACCCCCTACCAACCTGCCCTCTCACTCCGCTCAGCAAACTCAGGCCTGCTTCATGTACCCCGCATTGCTCACCTCACCACAGGTGGGTGGTCCTTCAGATGCTCTGTCCCCATCCTCTGGAAGTCCATCCCACAATCCTTTAGCCTTGCCCCTCCCTTGTCTCCTTCAAGACCTGTCTCAAGACCCTCCTCTTTGACTGTGCCTTCAGTCACCCTCTTTCCCTGCCCCTGCCCTCCCCAATCCCAACCCCCAGCTCGGGTCCGAAACACTTGACTGCCCAGCGCCTTAGGACGTCCTCCCACATGAAAGGCGCTATACAAATGTGTTGTTGTTGGAAAGGCTTGAATGGCATGATACAGGAAAATACATAATGTGTAAACCAGTCATAGTGCAACTACAGTATTGATAAATGACAGTTTGGATAAATGATTACGCAAGCTGCAAACTATCCAGAACTGCAGCTCCTGTCTTTGCTCAGCTCCACTGGCTCACCATCCCCCAGGGAATCAAATTCGAGACCCGTCTCCTGGATTTGAATCTCTATCTCAAGCTCGGGCGCCCAGTCAACTCTGAAGCACTTTGAGACATCCTCCTGAGCTGAAGGGTTCTGTACAAATGTTGGATTTGTTGGATTGGGAATGGTGGAAATGCTTGGTATTGCCAGGGAATTCTTTGCTCTCGGCTCGCACACTGCGAGGCTGAGTACTTGCCAAATGTTGCAGCAATAATATTTCCTGAGATCATGAGAGCCATTTGTTACGAATCAAACAGGATTTTGGTTGAAAAAGAAACGATCCAATTTAAAATGGTTGTTTCTTTTCCTCTCTTCTGGTGAAATCCATGTCCATTCAAAAATAAGTTTATGGTTGAAAATGGGTTTTACTGGCCCAGTTTGTACCCCAGTCATATCGGGACCCAAAGCTTTTCAGTCTTCATCATTTTTAGCTGACAACCCGAAAGCAACTGGGCTCGAAAAGAGAGCTTTTCTGTCCTTGGTCAAAGCCAAAATGAGTTATCTGATCAGTTGTGCTCAACAGGGGTTAAGTTAACTGTTCT